GAATAAGCATCTAAAAATAATAATATAAAGAAAAAATATATATTAGTAAAAGTATCTATTTATAAATAATACATAAATAATGAATGAATGAATTATATATATATATATATATACCTGTATATATAATAAATAGAATAGAAAATCATTCATAAAAATATCTTAATATAATAATACTATTTATAATAGTATAATAATAATAATAATATTGTTTAATAATATAATGTAATACAATATACACACATTTTATTTTACAAAAATTTTAAACAAATATACCTCCACAGCAGATGATGGCAGCAACAAACAGTGCGAGGTCACTATCGTCCAGTTCGAGGGAGTTAAACTTCATTGCAAACTGAAACTTGGGCTCCATCATTTCACTGAACGGCCGTCGCAAGCTCTTCAGAAACTCTCTGGTGATGAAGCCGCTGCCGTACGCGACCAGCAGACCGTCTTTATTCATGCATGATGCCAACATGGCGAAGAGCGCCTCATGGACGCCGTACTTTAATAATGTCACCTGTCGGAGAAAACAGGCTGCATTCAGTGAAGATGTTTATGCAATATGTGCATATCTGAAGATTTTATCTTTCATTAAGCTTGAAGTGTTTACGGGACGTGGTGCTTGTTTTCGGCACTAACCTGGTCATTTAAATCCAGGTTTGAGAAGCCTGGCACGGACTTGGCGAATTCAGTCAGTTCGGTCACCGTCTCGACCGAAGTGCACTGACAGCAGTGGAATATTCGAACTTCCGCGTCTTTATTCAGCAGAGCCCCAGAAGAGCTCACCATCTTGGCCACAAGAGTCTGTTCGGCCAACTGCAGCGTCTCCATGTCGTGGATGACAAAAGGCTACAACACAATGAGAATGAAGCATGAAGATCAAGAATTAAGAATAAACTGCTGTATAGTGGTCGATAGGTTTTTCAATGGCAGATGACAGTATCTAGAGTAAAGGGAGACAGGTGGGCAAAAAAGAAAAATTCATTCAATACAATTTAAAAAAATTTATTAAATTAAATGAAATTAAAGAAGACAAGCACTGTTCTACCAACATCCTTCATTTCAATAATCTGAAAAATAAAAAATACAAATAAAAAATAATAAAATATAAGTATGTATTTGAAACCGATTAAAATACTGGCTATACTGTATAGAGAGAGAACAAGTTCAAGCCTATTTTCAAGAATTATATATACATTAGGGCTGTCAGTCGATTCAAATTTTTAATCTAATTAATTACATGACGTGTTTGTAATTAATGTAAATTTGGCTGTGATATTACCCACAAAAAATATTTAAAGTTATTATTGTGTTATCAAGTAGACATTACAAATTGTAGCTTTAGACAGAAATATTTTATTTGATTCAACACAAAATTGTTTATACATAATTGTTTACTCTACAGTGGCCTATCATGAACCTATAGAACATTAAAAGATAGTTTGAGAAACATCTCAGTATTTTTTGCTCATACAATGAAAGTCCAAAACAGCTTAGTTAACAACAGTCTTCTTTTTTTTTATTTTTTATGAAATGATACTCTAAATAAGAAACTAAAACTGCCAGCAGGTGGCGGTAAATGCCTTTATACATCATTCATTTGTTAATTCGTGATTCATTCAGGAATGAAGTAAACGACTCAGTTTATGAACAGGCTATTGAATCATTGGATTTGTTTAAAACGCGGAATCATTCAGAAACTAAACACCGCTGTGTTGCTCACAGACGCTTAACAGTTCTGCGGTGGCTTTAAAGGTAATATTTTCTATGCAAAATTGAGCAAAAAATAGGCCTATAACACAATATTAACTACTTATTTACTGAACTGTTGTATAAAATCACATTTAAACTCATGACCGAGTTTACATTTACATTTAAACTCATATTCGTGACAAAACGGCACTCGTGTGATATTGCTCTCGCTGCTCATGTGGTATCGCTTATCATATGATATAAATATGAGACAAAAACTCATAGGGGCATTTTTGCCCCAATATCTTGAATTTTAGGAGCATAACAGTTAACTGTATGAAATGTAAGATGACGTACAGGTCTGGGGGCGGGGCCAATGCATTAACTGCGTTAAAATATTTTAATCGCGTTATTTTTTCGTATCTAATTAATTATCGTGTTATGTCAGTCGATTAAAATTTTTAATCTAATTAATTACAAGATGTGTCAATTAATTAATCTAATTAATCGCAAATTAAATTTGGCAGTGAAATTATCCACAGAAGATTATTTAAAACCATTATTGTGTTAAATGAGAAAGTATCAAGTAGACATTACAAACAGTAGCTTTAGAGCTTTATACAGTGAAAGTCCGAAACCAACAGTCTTCTTTTTCAGTCTTTTTTCTTTTTTTTTAATGAAATGATGTTCTAAATAAGAAACTTAAACTGCCAGCAGGTGGCGGTAAATGTCTTTATATGTCATTCATTCATTCATCCATTCATTCGTTCAAACTGCTGATTCATTCAGGAATACAGTAAACGGCTTAGTTTATGATTAGGCTATTCATTGAACCACTGGATTCGTTCAAAATGCAGATTCATTCAGAAACTAAACACTGACGTGTTGCTCACAGGCGCATAACAGTTCTGCAGCAGCTTTAAAGGTAATATTTTCTCTGCAAAATTGAGCAAAACAGACAATATTGTGTTTAAAAAAACACAATATTAACTACTTATTTACTGAACTGTTGTATAAAATCACATTTAAACTCATGACCGAGTTTACATTTACATTTAAACTCATATTCGTGACAAAACGGCACTCGTGTGATATTGCTCTCGCTGCTCATGTGGTATCGCTTATCATATGATATAAATATGAGACAAAAACTCATAGGGGCATTTTTGCCCCAATATCTTGAATTTTAGGAGCATTTTTTGTGAGTGAGATGAATTAATGCATATTCATATTTATTTTCGAACTACAGTAACATCTTATTTCTCTCAACATGGGGACAGGAGAGTTGTCAGTAAATAAATTGAAAAAAAAAAAAAGTAACTTGCGTTACTTATTTGAAAAAGTAACTCAGATATTCTCTTGTAAATTAAAAAGTAATGCGTTACTTTACTAGTTACTTGAAAAAAGTAATCTGATTATGTAACTTGCGTTACTTGTAATATATTACCCCCAACACTGGTTACTAGTAATAATAATAACTATTATTATTATTATGTGTATATGCATATGTAACAGCCCCAGCTTCCTGTTTTGATACTTTCTTGAACTTGTCAAGACAATTAAATGGTTCAAAAGGACGATACAATACAAAAACCTAAAACTGTTCAGATGACGGCATTTGTTTCAAACAGGACTAAAACTCGAAATGCTCCCTGCCTCTGTAAGAGAGGTCAACACGACACCCCGAGAGGCTGGTTTGCGGGCCGTGAGAGAACAAGAGTACTGTGAGAGATGAAAGCCTCGTCTTAATTCAGCTGCTCTCACTCCCAACAGCTGGGCCGTGTCCTGCGGAGCTCAGGCCGAAGAGCACAGCCAACAATCAAGCTAGTGTTACAGATGCGTGAGGGGAAACACGTCTGAGGTGGAAACTCCAAAGCCCCGTCCCATGAGCCCTGTGTCATATCAAGCTTCTTTAATAAAGAGTTCTGCTTTATCGATAGGCTTTGTGCTTTAGAAGACGGTGTAGAGCGACATGAACATGATGGAGAAAACGGAAAAGCGTAATCTGATGATGCAGCTTCAGAGCTGAGTAGTAACGGATTACATGTATTCTGGATTACGTAATCAGATTCCAAAAATGAAGTACTTGTAATTAGATAACATTTCAAAATACTTGTAATCAGACTACAGTACAGTTATGTATTACATTATTACATGTTTACACAATAGCAATAAATTATTCAAAATTGATTGATTCTCCCTAATTCTTCTTTTTCATCTTTTACATTTCCTTTCTAAAATAGCCTACTGTTTATATACATTCAGAAAGTCTTCTAGTTTTGTAGACATTCACACAAAGACCAGTCAGTTTTAAGAAGTGTTCCAGCTACTGATCAACTTATTTTTATTTGAAATATCACTCAGTGGTTATTTAACCATGTATTCTTATGTCTCCGGAAGGCTTTTTTCTTTCAAACATTAAAAAGCACAAATTAACGTTATTTCTTTACACTTTGCATGTTGCACACATCTGCGTGTTCACGGTTCTCTGATGTTTGTTAATGGTCACATGACATGCAGATAAACAAATAAAATATTTAATCTTTTTTAGTAAGTGTTTTGTTTTGATTGCTGTTATTTTAAAATTATTTATTTTAAATATTTATGATTTCATTAATTATTAGCTTTTCTTTTAACTCATATTAGTGCTGTCAAATGATTAATCGCGATTAACCGCATCCAAATTAAAAGATTTTGTTTTTGTGTACTGTGAATATTAATTATGTATATATAAATACACACACATGCATGTCTTTTTTAGTAAGTGTTTTGTGTTTATTGCTGTTATTTTAAAATTATTTATTTTAAATATTTATGATTTCATTAATTATTAGCTTTTCTTTTAACTCATATTAGTGCTGTCAAATGATTAATCGCGATTAACCGCATCCAAATTAAAAGATTTTGTTTTTGTGTACTGTGAATATTAATTATGTATATATAAATACACACACATGCATGTATATATATTTAAGAAAAATATGTTGTTTATATTAAATATATTTATATATAATATAATATAAATTATATGAATATAAATATATACATCTAAATATTAGAGCCCGACCGATATGTTTTTTTGGGGGGGCCGATACTGATATTAGGGAGTAATAAAAGACCGATATCGATATATCGGCTGATATTCTTTATGTGTAGGCTATACTAGAATAAAAGATTGGCACATTGTTTATTTACTTTATAGCATTGCGTCTCACCAACTAGATAACAACGTAGCGTTAAATCACCATTCAACAGACACAAGCCACCACCGCACTGCCATCTATTGGACTGCAGAAAGATACTAACTTTTCAATCTGCTACGTTACAGACTGTACTGACAAACTATGCTGGCACCGTGTCTGTGCCGCAATAGGACACGAAAAAGCAACCGTTGAAAATCATTTGAACTTTGTGTCAGCACGTCATAAACGGAACGAGGCGAGGCATCAGTTTACTGCATCCAGTGTAGACAACATCACTGATTATAATGGGTTCTATTCTACACCGAACTTCAATTTGCTACGTTACTGACTGTACTGACAAACTATGCTGACACCGTGTCTGTGCCGCAACAGGACGCGACAAAATAAATAAATAGATAGCGTCATAAATAGAACGAGGCATCAGTTTACTGCATCCAGTGTAGACAACATCACTGATTATAATGGGTTCTATTCTACACCGAACGTGAGCGGCGCAGCGCGACAATATAGAATAGAAATTCTATTGTATTTTGTCAAGCTGCGTGATGTGATGTGACCGATGTGATAAGCATGAGTTCTGGGCCGGGGCGCGGCCGGTAAACACCAGCATTGAGTGGCCGTGATCAGCTCTGGTGGGCGTAGCACAGGCTTTAATGCGCCGCAGACGCGTGCCGTGAAGCGCAGATCAGCTCTAGTCTCTAACGTCACTGAATCTGCTGTTAAAATGAACCATCCATTCATCATATCATCATGCAAAACAAAGAATTAGAATCATTGTAATGTGACGATCAAATATAGGTGCGGGTGGATAATTTGAAGTAGTGGACTCGGGGGCAGTTTGAGCTCATTCGCGCATCTCTACAGAC